CTTCGACGGAAAAAAGATTCATTTTGCATGTGTACAGTGTACTAGTGCAGCTGTTCACATAGCCATGTGTATACGCATACTGCGTGACGCGCTTGTTTCACAAATAGAATATACTTGTTATACCTCTTTGCCGCCTTCGGCGGTCGCGCACTACTGCAAGCGAGAGGACTCTGGTTAGAGCAAGTGCAGCTGCAGTATAAGCGTTTTCATATAACTAAATTTAAAGCACTCGCCGCGCGCGCTTACAATAATAACTCAGTACTTAATTGTAGCGCAGTGCACTACTGGGCCACTCTGAGCCGCGAAAGATCCGGATTGACACCGTCAATCAGTATGCAATAACTTTGCTTGAACCAGAGCCCTCTCCGCGTTTGCATTAGCGCGCGCCTGCTGAAGGCACATTACATGGTTATGCAAATCAATAAATTACCAAAACGCGTGCCAAGTTGGACTCGTCAACAAAGAAAACAACAATTTCAAGAAAACAACAATTTTATTTAGTATCAGTTAAAGCAGACAAAAACATATTTTATATATATAACTAGTGCAAACTTTAGACCATATATCTTAGGGGACTTGGAGTAGCAAGAGAGTGACCAGAAAGTATATGTATACTTTTACCAAAAATACGTCGAAATGAATCCAGGGTGATACAGGATCTGAGAGTGCAGACCATAAAGTTTACGCACCCACCCTTGCCTCCTGAATTCTTGGTTGGAAAGACAATTATGCAAAATTGGTCGTTTATACTCCAAGTCCCTTTGTTAATAGAAGTAGTATTATTTATGTCTGGAGTTAGCTTCATTCAATAATAACAATATCAATATAATCAATATTAATATCAATATCAGACTAAACTATCAAATAAATAAATTATCAAATATCGATTATTAATTCACTCTGATTAAAAAGTTATAAATTAGGATATCTAATATTTAAGAATTACAACTACAAGTTGTTAAAAACGCCCAAAATAGATCTGAGATATTTTCAGTCTGTAGTACAATAATGATAGCAATAGTTTAAATTATGTTATGTGCCGCTGCAATTAGATTAAATTACTGTAACTTAAAATTGTTTGGAGTCCAAGTCTCTTTTAAGTCAGCAGCCTGTGATTGTATTAATAGTGCTTTCGTTCTCAATTTTATCAAGTTAATGGAAGTTTCTAGACAATTGCTTGAAGTTAAAATTTTTTAATGAACAGTGTTCCAAAGCTTGGCTGCATTAAACAAAAAGGTATTTGATTTATTTAGAAGAATAACTGTTACACTCGTTGCACGGTTTGAAATGTTGATAGCCTCATAAAGGGAGTATGGGCAGTGGTACTTGATAATCTTAGAGAATTCTAAAATACAGTGATATTTGTACAAGTTTTGAGCCGTAAGAATTTTTAACCTATTAAAAATGGGTTTCGTATGCTCCTTTTCAAAATGTTTATGGCCTAGTATTTGCATGCCATATGGTCTAGTTCTTGCACATGTTAATTGTTTATCTAGATATGAGTCGAGATCACCAAAAAGGATTCTTATACAGTGCTTCTGTGTGATAAAAAGACTATCATTTGACCGTTCTTTGAGGACAACTCCCCAAACACTTATACCATAACTTAGATGTGATTCAAATAGAGCATTATATATTTTTAAATATAGTTCAGCAGGTATCGAGTGCCGAATTCTACAGATTGCACCAGTCATGGACCTCAGTTTTTTACGGATGTAGTGCATGTGAGCAGACCAGTTTAGCTTACTATCTATAACAACACCTAAAAATTTGGTATCCTTGACTTTAGTGATAACCTTACCATTGATGAATATTGATCTAGATTCATCTAGCAGGGTAGCAAATGGTCTAGTCCGTGCACAAGTGTCATCATATTCAGAGGCAGGTTTAAAATGGATGTAGCAGCATTTTGACATGTTGATATGAAGTAGATTACATTTCATATAAATCGAGACATGTTTAAGCACTAAGTTGGCTTTTTTGTATGTTGCTTCTCTAGACGGTCCTGATATGAAGATATTAGTGTCATCAGCATAAAGTACAAATTTCACTTCACTGTCTGAAAAACAGTTTACTATATCGTTCATATACAGTAGGAAGAGTAATGGCCCTAGAATTGACCCTTGAGGAACCCCGAATTCCACATCCATTGTTTCTGATGGTACATCGTTATACATCACATACTGCTTTCTGTTAGTCAAGTAGCTTTTTAGTAAAGTTAGTGCTGTGCCCCTAATACCATAGGAATTTAGCTTGCTTAGAAGAATATTGTGATCAAGGGTGTCAAAGGCTTTGCTCAAGTCAATGAATATGCCTAGGACATGTTTATTGCTAGCCAGGGACTTTGTAACAGAGTCTATAGATTTGTGTAGAGCATGGGCGGTAGAATGGCCTTTTCTAAATCCAAACTGCGAGTCTGTTAGTACACCTTTAGATGTGAAGAAATTATAGAGCCGTTTTTAAATGACCTTCTCGAAAAGGGTAATATTGATACAGGCCGATAATTTTCAATACATTCCTTATTGTCTTTCTTGTAAATACGAATAACTTTACCAGTTTTAAAAATATTTGGGAATGTTCCACGACGGTAAATATGTGGCGTATTGACATACGTTGCATGCCACTTTTCGCGCTGATATTTGGATACGAAACATGTATCAAGTGGCGTAGGCATAATGCACATATATTTTACGAATATTACCCGTTAGAGTATTACGTTAGGCCGGCGTAAAACCATAATTATATAGTTGAGTAAACGTATGAAATTGGAAATTGAAACTAAAACGCGCGGTTTAGGTTGCCGTGAAACATAAATTTAAAAAATGCTACTTTTAATGCCACCCTGATTTAAATTTGTTTTTTTAAAGCGTGCTGAAACCGCTGCTGCGCTTAAATTAAAAATCCGAAAAGGTAAAATTATTAAAATAAAACACTTTTTTTAATGTGTTTTTCACTCAAAATACTTTTTAATAAAAACATTAAATTTTCCCACATTATTTCATTGCGAAGCAATATGCAATAGTTTTGTAGCGCGATGCGTTACTGTGCCGCGCCGCGCACTCAATGAGGCTTCTCACAGCGAGATCGGCGAGATGCGCTACTGTGCCGCGCCGAGCTGCCATGAATTGACATCGTCAATTAAGCAATAGTTAGTTGTGATTTTCCATAAGCGAATGGGATAGGCTTCCGTTAGTATAGCACCATATTGTAGCGCGATGCGTTACTGTGCCACTCTAGATCGGCGAGATGCGCTACTGTGCCGCGCCGAGCTGAGATGAATTGACATCGTCAATTAAAGCACCATACCTTAAATTTTTGAGCAGCTGCCCCACTCGACAGTTATGTATGTACTACCTCCACTGTCCCATCTACGATGAGATGATGGGTGACCAACATCTGTCAGCACTTGAGTAGAAAGCAAGAATATGCTTGATTCACGATGTCAATCCTTCGCAGCTCGGTGAGGCACAGTGGTGCATCTCGCCGATCTACCGAAGATGTGGTTGCGAGAAGCATTATTTGATGCGCGCGCGACCCAGTAGTGCATCGCGCTACAAGAATATGCATGCATATGCAACCAGCGTTTTTGATTGCTCGATCACAGTGGCGTAGCGTAGCGTTTCACGTTGATGCATCCCTGTACCCCTCTTTTAGCTTCCTCTCCCTAAGGAAGTAATAATGTAAAATTGGAATTATTAGATGATTTGAGAGGATTCCAAGATAGTACCTTTGAAAGCTAAACCAAGGATACTTTTTAATTGTCCATGATCAATGATATTTACTAACCGTGTTGATGGTTTTAGATTTCGTATGTTGTAAGTATTTTAATGTGAAGCGTTTACTCCTCCCCCTCAGCAAGACAGTTAGACTAGATTGTAGATTAATGATAATAATTGTCAAATGACGTTATATATTATATAACAGTTATAAATGTTCAATGTTGTAGAGCGATTTCAAGGGCTCTTTCTAAATCGCTCGCCCAAACCGTAATAACAATTTCAACTTTTGCGCGTCTCCTAAATGCGCGTTAGTTATCTGTGATAATTTTAGCACCGGCGAACCACATGGTCTGGTATGGAAGCGTGTTAAGAGGCGTACTCGGATTTTAGCACGACAACTTACTTAACGGCCTATTTACTGCTCCAATTTTCCATGACTTCTAGAGATTATTTATTTATTATATTTCATTAAATTGTGATGGTATTAATTTAACTACGTATAATGGGCTCCTTTTAACTAGAGTATGGATATTCAGGTTCCGATATTATGGAATACCTCCCGGTTTGAGACTCACTCAGGGCATAGTTCAAACCCAAACTCTCAGTGTACAATGGTAGATTTATGACAGGAATTTATGTTATAACTATGGACTTCGAACTTTCAGGTTAATTTATGTCTAGAGTTTTAACTTCGAACTTTTAGATGAATTTATATCTGGAAGATAACCAATTAAAACAAGTGATTAAGGATTGTAAAATAATGCAAGACCAATCCAATCGTACATAAAATAAGTGTTCAATCTCATGGTAAAGTCCGTTACCCTAAATCAGTTGGGTAGCTGGGTGATCAATGGGAACTGGTGTGTATTATAACGGGCTGGCTGACTCTCTCTCTCTGGACGATGGGGATGATAATTAATCACTCTACACTCGACTGTCACGTGACTTTTTCAACCCGTTCTCTAGCTGGTCCTGAACGACTATTCGAAACCCTAACCCTTTAATCTGACCCCAACCCTAACCCTAACCCAATCCTTAACAAAAGCATATGCTGAAACTCTAACCCTAACGAGAAATTAGACTAACTTCCTTATACGGTCATATCACGTGATCGAGACAGTTTTTCGCCTATATCTCGTCAGGGGAGCATTTTAACCCTATGTCATGGGGGGTGATTCGGAATCAGCGTCCAAAAATACATCGATTGTAGTTGATTTCAACTGTCGGGGGCCCTTTTAGAACAATCTCGAAGATCGACTGTAGAGTGATTTAGTACGCTCGGGACGATGGACAGGTAGCTGCTATATCATGGCTACGTTCCTTCAATGCTGCCAACGAGGGCAGAATCCGTGGGAGGGGAATGTCCTAGAAAGGGACAAATTATTAGCAAATGACGGATTAATTAAAGACAATAATATACTAACTAGGATAAAATTAAACATGATAAAGTTAAATTAGAGTGAACTGTAGAATACGAAATATGTAAGAACTTATCAATAAATGCTCAAATGACTTACGAGGTAATAATGTAGGTGCTGCTAAGGTTAGGACAAGCAACCAGGTAGGATAGGCTCACCACAATATTACCTAGGAAGGTATAAACCTATTAGAATTTAATTACTAACCAATCGGGAATGACTTTAGTATTACGAACAATGTGAATCAATAAATGGGAAATAACATTGCAATGAACAACATCTGATTAATGGTTTAATAATTATAAAAGCTATACCTCGAGGAACAAACTTCCTAGCCTATCAGGAATTCAACAGAAGCGACGGGAACCAATTACAATGATCTGGCATGACGTTAGGAAAATCTGGTGAAAATAACGGATAAGTATTTTACCCGCATATTATGATACTTGCACAGAACTTGAACTCACGGATTTAATCTTAACCTAATTATGCATGATATTGATACGGTCTTAGGAACAAAATACTAATGTCAATGATTTAAAATAAAGGACTACAAACCTATTTATGAAACTAGTGACGTGGGAGAGAGCGCAGCATACTAACATCCCGGGCCGTGTAGAGAAAACCAATCATAGGAGAGGCGTTCGGGAAAAGGCTAAAGGCAGACGGCCGTGAGAATCTGTGTGTTCATCTTTTGTAGTCTAGGTGTTCTGTGGAAGAGGAGCTCCAGTGGAAGAGGCGGTCCACGCGTTGTCCAGGAGAGTTGCAAACAAGTTATTACAAACAGGTTATTGCAAACAAACACATTATTAATAATGAGGTCTGATCGTCATCTTCTTACAGCTTTTTCTCGAATAATTTTCAAGACTTGATGTCAACTTATTATCGGAGAAAAAGACGATTTATAAAGGAGCAACCTAACATTCTACCCACTCCTCATTTCTTAAGATGTCCACTACATGATGTTGCTCTACCAATTTGACTTATGTCCCTTAAGCGCTTTTAACTACCGTTCACCGAACCTTGACTGCGGCTTTGTTAACAAGGTTTGGCCGGTAGAGGGTCCGCAGTAGTCCCATTACCTTAGTATTGCTGTTCCACTACTAAAGAAACACATTATTAATACAAATCCCGGTTTTTAAAACTGGTTAAAATACCGTTCCACTAATTGATGAATTTGGAATTCAATAACTCCATTAATCCAATAATTTCGTTATAAATAATTCTAATAAAACTAAATGTCCTTTCTGACCAATGGCTGCAGTGCTCTGCAAATCTCTCCAATCAGATCTTAATCATATAAATGATCACTTGATTCATCTTTATGAAACCTTATGCCAAGGAATTAAACTGGAATTAAACGCAGCATACTGGGGTTCAACTTCAACTTAACTTCTAGTTCTGAGGTACTACACACGTCCCTAACAAAGCGCATGTGTGTCAAAAAAAATAATGATACACATGCGCTTCCTAGGTAGCGTAAAGGCTAAAATACATATATAAATAGATAAAGATAGCGATTAGAATATTAAATAAAGATTTTACAGCAATTTTACAAAAATGACACACATGGGCCACCTAATGATATACATGATAAACCTGCTAGCGCATGTGTATCAAAAATTTTTTGACACACATTGCACATACGCTACCTAGGAAGCGCATGTGTATCATTATTTTTTTTGACACACATGCGCTTCCATAGTACATTTTTAAATGCTGATTTCGATTTTTATGGTAAATATGGTAAGCGCGTAAGTTGCTCTAACCATAGCCCTCTCATTTTCAGTAGCGCGCAACCGCTTGTTTCTATTTGTGAAACAAGCCTTGTTACAAGCGCGTCACGCAGTACGCGTATACACATGGATATGTGAATATGGTAAGTAAATTTTTCTGGAACATTTGAATTGTTATTTTTTGTATTTAAAGTCAACTTGCACTTGTAGCGCGATGCACTACTGGGTCGCGCGCGCGCATCCAATAATGCTTCTCGCAACCAATATAATGCAGATCGGCGAGATGCAAAGAATTGACATCGTGAATCAACCGTTCTTCATGCTCGATTTTTTGAATTTCCTTACCACTTACCTATATATATGAATATCTTTAATGTAATGGATGATACTCTTTTACCTTTCTTCGAAGAAGGCCAAAGGAAATTAGTGCTTGAAAGTAGCACGTTGCTCTAACCAGAGCCCTCTCGCTTGCAGTAGTTGTACTGAAACAAGCGCGTCACGCAGTACGCGTAGACACATGGCTATGTGTTGTATCACGTGGTGACCCCCACGGTCGCTTCACCCCCACGGTCGCTTCACTGTAGCGTCTTCGACGCTACAGGGGGAGCCGCGCACTTCGTGCGCGGCGGGTCATACAACGTATGACAAGCTATGTGAAAGTAGCGCGTGCTGGGTCAGTCTATTAACAATGGACAATTTTATCTATATTTGTTAATTGTTAATGTTTTACCTGCAACATGCAACCTGGGGACTTTTGTATCACGTCGTGACATTGACCATTGTTAATGATCTGGCCCGGCGCGCGCTACTTCGTAGCACGTAGTAGAAGTGCCATTTCGAGAAGAAAGCGCCGCGCGCTACTAGGCTTCGAAGAAATTTAGACATCCGTAAGTCGTGACATGGACATCATTGTCAGTTCATTTATCACTATCAGGGCGAAAGCCACGTCCCACGATACAGCCGCGCACAGCGTGCTTACAACGTGATGCAAGGGGACCTCAGGTTATAATAGAGATTCGGCGGAATAACATTGATTTTGAACATGTAACAGGCTGAGCGCCGCCCAGAAAGCAGCTGAAAGTTAATGTTATCAAATTAGTATATAAATATAAAAAGTAACTACTACTACTACTACTACTACTATGTCGGAACTAAGTCCGATATACGCCAGATAACCCCCTCCATATAATTATATCCCTGTCCCGCATCAGGGTTCGCAGTTCCTCTTTAGAGTTTGTCCCAACTTCCTTCAGTAACATAGACAGGTAGCTTTGTCTTGGTCGGCCTTGCTGTTATCGTAAAAAGTAAGATGCTTTTCATTTTCTGATAAACGCGTTTGGACATGATAACAACATAATTACAATTTACATTATTACAATAACAGAATAAAAGAATGACGAAAACGAAATCAGTAAATGTTTCTACTCTTATACCACAATAGAAATCACTCAATGAAATAATTTTACAATTGAGAGTTTTCGCAAAAACAAATAATATATGTCACCGCATTATCCGGACAAATATAAACAACAACTTTTCTCAATACTTTATTGTTGATCGACATGATGTCAAGACGTTGTGTGAGGGAACTTTTACAATGTTTGACCGGTGCTATTCAAGTTCACTAATTTAGACCGATGCGCACACGAACACTGAACAGGTTACAGTACCTTATACCAGACAAACGTGTTAAAACTATAGCTATATTTGATTGGACATATAATTATGGCGGACATTTTAAAAATTTACTTCTCTAGCATCAAGCGATTTTTGAAAATTTTCTGTGGTTGGCAGAAAAATACGAGGCACGGAAAAATTCAGCTCAGTATCAAGTATAAAACGTAACCAACTTTGGGCACAAATCTTATAAATAAAAAGGGCCCGAATTAAAATGAATTAAATCATAATAGTTATAGTCCAGAGCACTCTATTTCGTCTGGAAAACTTCCCGCACCGGTCCTCAGCTGTCTTAAAAGTCATGCCATAATGTTTCACAGGGCATCCATCCTACGTGAAAATTCTGGCCCTTATTGTAAATGTTCTGGGATAAACAAATTGATCATATAAAATATCAGATATTATATAAAATATCAGATATTGGACTGAACAGGTGGGGATCTGATAGCTTTTGTTTTGACAAGTCGTTTTTGCGATCTGCGTCTCCCAATGCTGTCCCCTGACCCGTGCCCCTGAAACGGCGTACGGTTAGAATTGGGCATTGTGGATTGTTAAATTCTGAGTAGTATCAATCAATGAGGAGGCTTAGACAACCCGCACGATGTAAGGTTAACAGTCGACTGAGTTAGAGTTGACAATCGATTGGGGAGGGTTAACAGTTGACTGATTGAGAGTTGACAGTCAATTGGGGAGGGTTAGCAGTCGACTGATTGAGAGTTGACAATCGATTGGGGAGGGTTAATAGCCGAAGGAGGATTTAAACGGAGGCTAACGGAATCTACATGCCTTTTAAACACATCATTTTTGTACAAGTTTAACCCCAGTAAATCAATTATTGAACCAAATCTCGACGATATCAATGTATAGTATTTACAATGGCAGGTAAAAATTGGTATACAAGTAACCATTCAAGGTTACAACATCAGAACTAAAATCAGAATACAGTTTACAAACGGCTGAAAGATATAAATTATCAGAAGTCAAAGAATCACAAACACCGATGTTATTGTATCGAAGAAATTGTATACAAGATTAGAACAAAGTCATCAGGATGTGACTTCAACCAGAGTCTATATTAAAGAAAATAATGATTCGAATCTCATAAATCAGGGATCTTGTCACACCAGCTCACAAGTAATTTATATCGGTGTAACACTTTTACACTTCATCAGCGGGGGATCACGTAACAATTCCTGACGAGGAGGATCACATGTCGTAACAACGGATTGACAGTCAAGTGACTCGTCATGTGATACCTGGATAAGAGCTCTACGGAGGGATGGCGCGCGCTCCAGAGTCTCGTACCTCTTCAGGGTGGGGGTCCTCTCCAGCCCTCCCACCACATCTCTTTTAAAGCCTGGTTCTACAACCTCATCATCTATCTGTGTTGTTTTGACAGTGTGCATATTTTGATACGGTACGTGAATATGTTGATACGGGATATTGAGGTATGACTAATGACTATCCTTACTTCAGTGCAATATAATATCAAAACAATATACGTAACTGAAACCCTGAAACCGTGACTGTATATCTTGCCAATAATGGCTGGAGTCATAAACTCACAAATTTAGATTTTAGCTAGGCTGAGTAGCCAACCATCAATGATACTGTCGTAAGGCCGAGCGTGAGTTTTTAACATTGTAGTGTTTAGTAGGGGCATCACGGCTCTCGACAGACAAAGTGAAACAATTCAAATAACTGGTGTTAGTTTCACCATTTATTTGCCTTATTTCACTTTGCCTGTCGAGACCCCTACTAAACACTGCAATGTTAGCTTAACCAACAAAAAAACTTGGGCCAATAAAATAAGATTTATTTAAGAACTCACAGGACTGAATTGTTTGTCTCCTTCGGGCGAGTAATCCAAACAGGATAACAGAACACTGTTCTCTACTTTAAACTTGTCCAGTAACATCGTCAACATGGCTTCATCCTCCGTTCTGAAACGAGCAAATATGAGAGGTGGAAGGGGGTTAGAGGGCGGTTTTAAATCTTCATAATACCCGGCAGCGCATACGTTTGGGCTTCAATCGAGTAATTTTGCAGATTTTCTCCAGTCTTGCTCTACACAACGCCATAATAAAGACATACCACATAATATGTTAGAGACATATTATACACATGTGTTAGAGGATCAATATATTACTATTAATTCCATGACAGTGCCAAGCATTTATTTACACCACGAAAGACTGAAAATGTTCTAGAAGCTTCTGAAAAGACTCACGAGATGCCAGTGGTAGGAATAGAATTAAGAGTGTCCTCCATAGTAGACCTACACTTGGTGGTCATATTGTTTCTGAAGAGGAGTAGACACGCCAAAACATCTAGCCTGCCCTGGAGTGCTCCGTTCTTACAGAAACGTTCCACTTTTGATATCATTCCACAAACCTGGAGATACAAAAGTAAGGTCAGCACAGAATTTTATTTATGAAAACTTAAACTTTTCACAGTAATTTGGGCATATGTCAGATGTCAGTGGTAGTGAAGGTAAAATCAAGAGATTAAAGAAATGAGATGATTAACAAACCTTGACCGTGACGTTCTCTAAGAGATGACCAATAATACGCTTTAACAGGTCTTTTTCTATGTTGTGCAACTCTGCTTGAGCCATTACTAATTTCAATGCAAGCTCCTGAAAAGATAGATTAAGATCAACGTGGGACCCCTGATGTCTCATGTCAGGAGGCTTAGTTGTCGGCCTCTCGATAAAGATGGATTATGAAAAGCCGCCAGGATTCCATCACGTGATAATTTTTTCGATCAAACACCAAGGTTTGTAGAGTTGAATTAGAAACGATCATGTTCTTAGTTAGCTAATTTCATTCCCAAATGCTAACAAATTGTGCGGTTATGTCAGTTATTAGATATACCTGAACGAATATGTTGATAGAAACAGGGGGGTTACAATACGCCCAGGGGAAGGAGTTGGGTTCCAGGAACTGCAGAATGTCTCCGAAAAGGAACGCGTCCTTACTGTTCACATATTTGTCGAAGATACTGAAATTCAGTAAAATTCACACACTTCATATATTAAACATTTAAAAAAAAAACTACTAATGATAAGAATTGTGAGCGCATGACAGTTAAAGACCCTGAAACCCCGGAGATTTAATCACACGACCAAGAAAACTTCAATAATAATTAACATGATTAATATAATGGAATGATTTCGAAATCTTAGATGTAGGGTGGCGAGCCACTCTTCTTTCTTAATCCATTACAATGAACAAGCCCGAATGAGCATGTTAGAATGAACAATGAACAATGCAAATGCTGGAATACCTTCGTTCGAGAGTGCTGTACCGCTCCAAACTCTTATTATCAATGGTGTCATCGTTAGCACTGATGTAGCCGTGAGACTTAAAGGTCTCCAACAAGGTCGGTATAATTGTGAGAATGGTGTGTCTGCAGTTTCCTGAGGACGTTACACGATTCAGGAATGCGATTATAACCGGGGTTCAACTATTTCCGCTGATGTTGAAAATAAAATGGTAAGTGACATCACAGTCGGTTGAACGATTCCTATGATGAAAAGTATAAACTAAATGGCATCAAACTGAATTTCAAAATGGATCCTGCATCCTCAGTAGAATAAACAATTATACCTAAAATATTATTACCTAAAATAACATATTATTACCTAATACAAAATAATATTACCTAAAATAACATATTATTACCTAAAATAAGGACTAATCTCTCTTCTTTGGTCGTATTAACGTTTGCTTGGTCTGCCTTATCCGGAGATATTGACACCGAATCTTTCTGCGAGCGTTGTTATTTTAGCAACAACATACAATATCTACGAAAACTATCTGAACATTAATCAAAACAATATTTAATGAGGTAAGAACTTACGAAGAAAACTTTATCAATAGTCGATACTCGCTAGAGATAACCTTTTTTAAATAGGCAAAGTTTATAAATTTAAATCAAATTATTTAACCGCTACAAACCTCGTTGCTCTCAGACTCAATAATGTCCGTCAAATCTTTCAAACAGTCCGCAAAAGATATGACGACGCTGTAAAACATCTCTTGAATGCAGTTGTTGATATCCGAATCTTGTGTTAAACTTTCTCTGTACCTTATAGGTTCCATGACCTGGCAATTGATGAATTCTGTAAACTTTACCGACTAAAATGTGAAATACTTATTACTTATGTGAAATAATACAGTACGATGTATCAAAATTTAAGAGTGGCGTTTATTTTGTCCCAAATATGTGCTTTTAGAGGGCCAAGATTGTCTGCCTTAAGAGTTTTACCCAGTTTTTAAGCCAATGATTAACATTATAATCATTGTTCAGCTACTATAAGACTTGTCACGCGATCATACTGAACGTTAACAAAAACTAAGGGATACAAACCTCTTTAACAGTGGAGAGGAGAGAGAGAACCATGTTCTGAAACAGAAGAGGAAGTGCGGTGTGACCTCGTTCTTGGGAAATTTCCCAATTTTCCCGGCTGTGCAGTTCCCGAATGCTCACTTCCGAACTTTCGAACAAACACTGATACGGGAGCAATTATCAGGGCTTTGATAAATGATAGAATGGAGTTTTTGCTTTATAATTTATTATTTAGTGGTGAGAATGCCGACGGTAGTACTACCGCAATACTACCACAATACTACCGCAATACTACCACAATACTACAACAAGGGCTCAACATGTCATTAATGCGTTAACCGGCATTCTCATCAGAATTTTACTAACCATACCATCAGATAAGGGACTATTATAATACCTTGACACAGAGGCGCTGCATATCATGTACCAGTTCCACAGTACACATGACAGAAGGTAATGGAATGTTGATAGCCAGCAGTCTCTCCACACACATTTTTATCCGTTTGACTGTGGGTGGCGTCCAGAACTGCTGGGCTTTACAAACCTGCACGTGAATTTAATGATAACAGTTATGTTACCTAAAAATAAACTGTCGCTGCTCATGAAAAAATAGCTCACTAAAAATAGTCACGAGTTATTTTTAACCAAGTGCTAACCATCTCAACTGCGTACTCGACATCCTTCTCCGAGTTGAACTTGAAATCCATGGTGATACAGTACTGCCTAATAATGGAGCTGAGCAGTTCCATCACCTCCCCCACAAGACGGTGGATGTCGTCTTCGTGATCTGACTGCCTGGGTAGATATTACTTATATTCCCAGTTTACGGACTGAGGTCTAAGATCAAAAACAATCAATACAGCCTTGGTTAAAATTAAGTCCTACACAAATTCTTGCCTCGCTTTATCAAATCAAGTAATAATTTGGCGCTCTTGGTTACGAGGACTCGTACCCTTGACACAATTGACAATCGAACAATTATTAACATATTATGTCAAACAGTGATTGAGTGAAACCCACACGGAAACCCACCTCTCAGGTATAATATAAGGAGTAGAGGGAGGGGACATAACACTGTCCTGATGAACAAGGGGCGCTTTCTTAACCTCCGGGAACAAGGAACCGTCCAGGTAAGCTTGACACAGCGACCAGTAGTCAGGTAGACTTTGTGTTACTGTATCACACAGCTCATCTATCACCTGGTAGTTTGTTAGTTAGTTAGTTAGTTAGTTAGTTAGTTAGTTAGTTAGTTAGTTAGTTAGTTAGTTAGTTAGTTAGTTAGTTACTGTATCACACAGCTAGTTAGTTTATTCGCTTATTAATATATCTAGTGTAATAATTAATCTGTAAAGAAACTTCAAATTATCTTTCGTGTTGGATAGCTCTTTACCTGATTGAACAGTGGAGATATACTGTTCTCCTTGTGACTGACTCGTGACGCTTTTATCTGTTCTATCTTCACAAACTCTAGCAGCTTCCCCTTGAATTCTGATGAAGAGATAGGCTTATCTATATTGCGTTAAAAATGTTTATATGAATGTTTATTATGAATGTTCAATATGAAATGTTCATTATGAAATGTTACATGAATGTTTATTATGAAAAATCATACTATCCAAGAAAAAAATGTCAAAATTATGATGATCTTTATTGAAAGTCCTTTCCATTATCAAAATATCGTGGAATATCATCTTTATAAATGATTCAAATTACCCATTTTAGATTTAGTTAGGTACTGGATAACTTTCTCCTGTTGCTTCTGTAGACTTTCCCAAGCAGGATCGCTCGTAGGTGACCCCTCAAACTGTAACAAGAGCATTTTACATCATGTTGGAAAACAAAAAACATGGTCCGTTTAACAAGATTGGTTGTCGGCGGAGTCGACTATAAAATTTTAATAAAATCTTCAAGGCATTGATCGTCAATAATTTGTTCCTCTTTCCGCATAAACAAAACACTCACACACTTAGTAATTAAAGAGCGGCTCTGGAAATAAAATGCAAAAACTTTCTTACCTCAACCAAGTACTTCAACAACTGCTTCTTTTCGTTTAAAGGACATCTGGGTTCAAGTAGTCTGTCCTGAAGCTCTCTACTGAAAGCTCGTATCTTACCGTGTACTCCATCCATCACTTGTTGAAATACATGTACCTGAAGTGAATCACTATTACCTAAATTGTAATCTTGTTGTAGCAGCACTGTGTTTCCATCTATTGCATGCTTTGCGAAATGGCGGGCACGCAATTTATGAAGCGCTAATCGCTATGTATCATACCTGAGTATCGGCGAAGAGGGATTTGGCTTTCTTGTAATCGTTCAACACGATGTCATAGGCTTTTGAGTTTATGTTCCTGTCTATGCTGTCTGGTAGTCCGAACAAAAATCTGTGACAGTGATTTTCACGCTTAAGCCTTAAATCCCGCGTTTTTAATCGTAAGAAACTCAAAAATGTAATCGACCAATAATTTACACTATCGATCAGTATTATACAGTGTTATAGCAAATACTCAAACTTTCTAACAACGACCTATCTAGATCATATAAGCAGATACATTTTATGAAGGCATGTATATAATTTAATAAAAAAGCGTGCGTACGTGGCTGCGCTGGCCGGGCCAGACGGATTGCGCCGAAATTCAAATAATTTAGTACCCGCGCGTTACATAACACGCTTAATGTAGACCCTTTAAAGTGTCTGTCATACCTGAATCTGTCAATGACATTGAGTGCGTTTCTGATCCGATCAGCTTTATCCTTCTTGTTGAGAATACTACTGAACAGAAGCTCAGCGCATTTATTGCACTCATTCAGCACAGTATCCAATGGGCCGGTTAAACTTCCTCCAGTTGAGTTTTCTTCTTCCTCGTCTATTAGTTTGTTTACCTGTATGGTTGGTTTATGTTAAATATTAACAACTCCTCAGAATGGGAAACAACAAGTTATCTGGTGTGGCCGTTTAAAGTGTATCGCTCTCTCAAATTACAACAAAGTGAACAGAATATAACAACTATTTTGAGACCTTTTGGAGAGTATCATGGCAGGCAAGGAGCACATCAATGTGTGTTTTAACAAACTCGATGTCAGAACTAGTGTGGGTACCACACTCCACTTCCAGGTAGTTCACTCCGGTTTGTAGGTCAGAGATCGTGACGTCACGATGGTTGTTTAGAAGATACCTGACATGTTGTGATTGTGAACAACTTATAACATTTTGCTGTAAGTTTGTGTGTTATACAGAAGGTTCGAGTAATGATTTTGAAGATTATTATGTGTTGGGGCAGTTCGTTTCATCTATAACATAGAAGAGAGGACCACGGACTTGGTTCTCTTCTATAAGAAGGCCCACATACTCCCTATAGACCAACGAATCTTCTTTAAAGTTTGTCTTTTAACCCACAAATCAGTTCACGGTACTGCACCTGATTACCTCAAAGCATTACTGGATGTGGATGTAGTGGATAAAGAACTCTCAAACACCATGACCATGACCAGGTCGAAGAGACCTGATGACCATCTCATGCTCAAGGTACCAAAGAATAAAAGATCCAAAATTGATGACAGACGTTTCTCAAGCCATGCACCGATTGCATGGAACTCTCTTCCCCTGATGTTGAGATGTATCACTGATACCAACTGTTTCAAGCGAATGTTAAAGAATCATTTATATAATCAGTTCTGATGTTTTTCTTTCCATTGTCTTCACTTTGCAAGACACATTGGCTTTTATTTTTTACCGCACTCCATTTTATGCCTTGATCTCTTACTTACTTGGATCTGATTCTTTCTTGATTGATTATGTCACTGTACTAACCTTTATTATACCTACATGTACTGTATGGTTTCTGCTTCTATTTAGTTTAGTGTGGTTTACAATAAAAGATGTTTTAATTTTGTCTTTGCCTTATGCTGAGTTATACTTTAGTTCACTTTTTACACTTTTGCTCACATCACTCACAGTCAGCCGCTCTGACATGGTTAACCACCTTCCTTGTGTTGTTGGTTAATCATATGAGCGGGATATAAATACCTCATTTCATTTCATTTCATTTCATGCTAAGCTGTTGAGGTAAAAAATATGATGATAAGCTACAACAAAAAAGAAGTTTTCACAGAAAAACAATCAACACATAATATATAAATGGAAATTATGTTGGAACATAACTTGAAATTGGTACTGCATAGATCAACTAACTTGACAGGGTCGAATGAACTTGATGAAGGATCACTATCACTTGTACTTTCAGACGATTTAAAGGGAACACTACCTCCAAACAAATTCTTCTGGTTTGAGTTAGATAGACTCCTGTCTGAAATAAAGCTATGTAAAATATCGAGGTGAGTTGTTATAAAGTAACATTTTGTCCTTCTTTGCGTGAAAAAAAGAGTGCAGCTCAGTCCATGGAGGGTTTGAGTTTTGACTTTCTGTTTATGTTAAGTCCAGGATGGAGTGTTTCCTCGTGTTCTGTGCAAAGTACAGTTAATGAACCTACCAACACCGTCTTCCCTTAAAAACAGTTTTTTTACCAGGACTTAAAACATAAACAGAATATTGTATAACACAATTATTTAAATAAATACAAAAATAAAAACCTCGTGGGCTGATAACAGCTTCAGTCTGAAAGTAACTATTCTCCTCCATCCAGAGAGGCACCTCTGCATCATGAGCGATTCTATCTGCTCTGTCGGTAATGTTCAGTTTGATGTTACATTCACCCTCACCTCCTGACTTGGTAACTACTACCACCTGATTAACAAGTTATATAGTTAATCGGGTATTTTCAATCATTGGGCTAGAAAAAAGCTGAGGGAGAGCTGGAAATAACAGAAGCCCGTACACTCACCAAAAAAGAAGGAGAACAGGTGTACAAAAAAGGCCTCAAAGGGCCAGAAAAAGTGAATTTTACCCCTTTTTAGGTTTCATAGTACACTTCATAGTTCATAAGTACTTACAAAGGGATCATCCTTGCGTGGATTTTTGCCGACATAACAAACTATCTTGATGTCTGACCGAGACTCAATGAAAGGTTTACAATCTTCTCCACATATCCACAGATCTGAAGAGACAAATCACAATATTTGCAAGAAATTATAAAATCCTCAACAGTTGCTTCAGTAAAAATAATATTATCATCACTGATGTCTCAAGAGTGTATGTGACTACCAAACTATTTCCAAATTTAAAAGTTTACACTCAACAAGCTCTACTCACTTATGATATCGTCAATATCATATCCTAAGTTGTCACCGCGTATGGTGAGCTTTGACCCAGGGAAAACTATTTGTGGAGACAATCCATTCACCAATGCTCTGGTCATGCTGCCGATGGGGATGTATTAAATTAAACTGTTCGACTGAATTTGTCTTGAATGATCATCTAGCAAAGTCACTGAGGATGACAGAAGACTCAATTGGGGACCCGACCTTAGTAAGAACACTTTATTTCTCCCAACAATTTGTATCTGGTCCAAGTAAGAGCCTTGTGTCCAAAAACTCATTTGGACTAACGTTTCGGTGTGTGCAAAAGCTTTTAGGCCTGCACATTGTTGTTTCATTGAAAATCGGGAATCGTCTTTAAATTATTTTGGGAATATCTTGACTTGATATAACGATGTCGTCGTAATGACACAAGTGACTGATCAACCACCTTATTTGATAGTGTTTTAAAAATAAAGTATTTATATTTTTAACTTGGGGTGTAAATATTTTTAGGGATTTTATTTTTCTATTTCAGATCTATCATGCTATTTGTTACTAAAATGCTCATTGTAATTAGATTTTCATCATCATCATTCATTGAAAAAAAATTCTTGTTTCATTGAATTCCGTCGCTACGTGCTGATCTACACAGTGTGGCATTTTCCTATTTAGAGTACAGTGCCCTTGTGAGGGCTACTACTAGCCGGAACCCGTATAACCCTAAATGGTGTCAAGACTCAAGAGACTGAAATAATTATTACCTATTTAAATCGCGTTTTTGACACCACTTGGGGGTCCAAATTTTGTGCTCTAAAATCCCTATTCCTTGGCCAATTTTTTATTTTTTCATGCTGATTTGAAAAGCATAAAAGCATCTGACCCAGTCAAAAAAGTTTCAGTTGTATATCTTTTACGGTTTTTGCCGTGGTGTCAGTAAAATGGCACGGATCCATATATAATATATATCGTCTCGCTTTATATTATAGTAAGATTTTTATTATATATTTTTTAAAGATCAAAATTGGTCATTAGAACCACCCGGGCACCGTCTCGGTTTACAATCATATATCCGGAGAAAACTTTGATGCAATGAAATTTTGAATTTCAGCTTTCCGCAAGCTAAATTTCACTGTTTTGACTGAATTTTTCTTGAATGACGATCTTACAGGGTCACTGAGGATGGCACAAGACACGATTGAGGTACTCAAAGTTCTATTCCTAAAGAAAGCTTTGATAAACGGAAAATCATAAGAATACAAAATGAGATTTTGGAAGATTTTTGAAGTGGAGCTTTTCTGTCGTCCCCTTGACCAAAATTTCGCGGTTTTGAGTGAAATTTTGACCAGTGACCTATCATTAAGGTCGGCAAGAGTGACACAAGTCGCCATCAACGTACTGGAAGCAGTATAACCTGAGAAAACTTTGATGCAATGAAAATTTAGAATATGTCCTACCAGTAGGACATATCCCAACTTCAGCTTACCGCGACCCAAATTTCACTGTTTTGACTGAATTTTTCTTGAATGACCATCTTACTGGGTCACTGATGAGTGAGGATGGCACAAGACACGATTGAGGTACTCAAAGTTCTATTCCTAAAGAAAGCTTTGATAAACAGAAAATTATCAGAATAAAAATAGAGATTTTGGAAGATTTTTGAAGAGGAGCTTTTCTGTTGTCCCCTTGACCGAAATTTTTTGAGTTTAGAATAAATTGTTTCAAACAGTGTACACATAATGTCACAATGACCCTATATAAAAATAACCTTTCAAAAACTCAATATTTTGAAAATCACCCTTGGCCTTGCGGCTCCAAGTTCAAATCTAAACTGTCTTTATTGACAAATTTCTTTCTCGTCCCTCTGTCTCCCCGGAGAGAAATTACCGTCGTTCTTAAGATTTCGAAACGAAGGCACTTCCTAATGTATCCTACAGCATCTGAGTACCTCTGCCCTGTGTGGTATTCCATCTTACTAGCCAGCTTCTTTACTAATCTTTCAGCTTCACCACCCATTCCACCAGACGTTGAGAAAACTAACGGCATGAAGCTTCCTTTCTCTACTTCCAGGACCCTTGCATTGTAACACCGTTTTTTCTCATTTTCATGGGACTGGTACATTGCTGGGATCGATTTGCTTGCATTGGAGGGGGCTGGGGCATGGAATACCCTTACATCAAAAAATGCCCTAGGACTGTTCCCTTTGGCAGCTCTAGACCATCAACTGGAAGAAGAACTGGTTCAGTCTGCACATCCTTGCATTTCACAGTTCTCATTAGTTCTGCAAAGGTGTCCCTCAACGAGTTGTGCCGCAGTGACACATATCCACCAAGTTTGCAGATGAGCGCATGGTTTGCTGAATATTTCTGGCCACACGTACATGTTTTAGGGCAATCCTTTAGGTTCAGGTTATATCTGAGCGCTATTGCGTCTGAGAACTGTTGTTTGATCATCAGATATCCATACTCTTTTAAAGGTAGTGCTGTTAACAAAGCACTTGCCCCTTTCTCAGCAGCTAGTTGGAACATCAGCTTTGCCAGTGGTGTTGACTCAAGCTTCTGGCGTATTTCTGCTTGTTTTTGTAGATAGAAAACGTTCGGTCGTTATTTCGGTTTTCACTCCTTTGCTGTGTTTCCAATCCTCTGTGTAGTTGTCTACCTGCTTGAGAATGGCTTCTTTTAGATGTTTTGTAGCTTTACAGGAGAATTTGTACTCTCGATCTGCCATGTCCATCATAACTGGAATACCTAATCCTCCATATCTTGGTGGTAGAGCCATTATGTTCCTTAGTTCATCAGTGCAGCTTTAAAACAGTCTGTTGATGATAGCTGGGATAAATTCATCACGTGTTACTTGTTCCAGAGGATCGGAGTAAGCCTATCTGCAACTCCTGGGGTAGTTCTGCATACATAGTTCCATCTCTTACTAAGCCCATACACATTATATGCTATTTGAGGTTCTCTTGATGCTATATCACTTAACTGTTTAAGATCACGACACCATTCTTGAACTTTTTCCTCAATGAAAGCCTCTTTTCCTTGGTCTGTTCCGATGAAGCTGCCCAGATATCGTCGACCAATGCTTGTCACATTGACATCTGGGAATAGGGTTCTTGCCTTCTCTTCGTGCTCAGGCTTGACTATCACCCATGTTTTAGAAGATTTAGGGTTGTATCCAAAGAGTGGTCATTTAATACAGAGGTTATCCCACCACTTCCTCATTTCCTCCAGTTTTCCACCAGGCAGCAGCAGAGTCATCAGCATAACAGATCTGAGTCACCTTTCTCTCAATGTTTCCTGCATCAATCAATGGTATTGTACCACAGGCATAAAATCCCATGGCAGGTGGATCACCTTGTGTGGTCCCTTCTTCACTAAAAAGATGCTCATCTCCTCCTGCAATGAACAGTCTAGCAGGCATTCTGTAGGTGTCCATAATGTAAGTAGCAACTTCTGGACATACGATGTTCATGTTGTTGAGAGCAGCCTCTCGGTTCAGCAAGTTGAATACATTCTCTGCATTTTTTTTATCTCAACACTTATTTTACTTCGGACATTCCAACAGCCACATTGTTACACAAGTGTGTAACCAGCCAATTACAGGAAGCCGAAGGATTCAATTATACATTAGGCCAGTGACGGTTAAGGTAGTGTGTACCATACTTTCTTCGCCCGAGACTTTGCTGCAATGGGCAGCTCCTCATTTAACCCTCACACCCGATTTCTCGAGTATTTGGCTGAGTGGACCGGGGGGCTGCATAGACTACTCAGAATCCTTAGCTGAGCGTCGACGACGCTCACCCCACGGCTAGTGACAGAGTCGGGAATCGAACCTGGTACCTCAAGCAATACCAGGCGGATTAACCAACTGAGTCACTAAGATGATTAAAATATAAAAAAAGGGGGGACCCCCAACCCATGTAGCTGATACACCTCACAGCAAGTAGACCAAAGTGGCTCTGATCTTGCTTGTGAAAGGTGTATCAACCCGCCGAGGCGGTGGGTTGGGAGTCCCCCCTGGAATCATTTCGTCCGTAAAATTTTACACAATATAAAAGCTACAATAAATTATCTATAAAATTTACATAAACAAACTTAAGAGACCTCAAAGCTCGTCTTCTGAGGAATGAGATTGAAGGATACGTCATCCAGTCCAAGGTGCTGGGCTTTTTGTTTTCCTCTGATTCCCCTAAGTGCTATGAGTGTGCTTCGTAGCAGATCAAACCTGAATCGTGTTCTGATGTGATTTTTGACCTGGCTCTTAGCTTCTTTATTGTGGTCAGCTATCCTTTCAGAAATACGATCTACAAACACAGTGCAGAGTGGGCCAATTATTGGGGCCGCCCATACCTCCGGATGTAGTAAGACCACTAAGACGATAGCTTCAGTTTCAGGGTCTTTAAAGCAGTCCCTTGCAGCATGGACTGCTGCTTCCACTCCTCCCTTGACCGAAATTTCACGGTTTTGACTGAATTTTTTACCAGTGACCAATCAGTAAGGTCACTGGTCAGCCAAAGTGACACAAGTCGCTATCACGGTACTGAAAGCATTTTAACTATAGACGAGGTATTATTGTGACAATATTACGGAATTTCATGTAGCGCTCGATTTTAATAGTACGTATGAGGTAAGTTGGCGAAAGTATGCGCGGCGTGTTCAAAATTTGAGAATGAATTTTTGCCATAATTATTTTGTGTTTAAAATACATTTAAACTAGTTATTTTTTAAAACGGCTGTTTAAGTTTCACAAAATTTACGTTATATCACATCCACACTCCCCAAATTGCTTTTCACATAGCCATGTGTCTACGCTACTGCAAGCGAGAGGGCTCTGGTTAGAGCAATCAACCCATCGAGATCGTTGCTCTGCGAAGCAGAGCAACGATCGACGATGCGAAGCAAGAATGCTAGTTCGCGCGGCGCGTCGAAGCGGCGAAGTCCTCCAAAAATTGCTTAACTTGTATTGCAATAAATTTGATACATGTTTCGTATCCCAATATCAAAAATAATATGTAATAATAATGTACCGCGTAGTGCGCGAAATGCGAAAGCCACGATACGGCCGGCCTTGCACTTAACTCGTGTGCAGCGGGCCTAAAGTACAACGTGAGGCAAAATATTTATAACATATAAAATCAAATTGGATGTACTTTTTCGTGAAAATTCAAAACATACGTTGCATTCCTGTCTAATATGCAATAGTTATTGCGAAAAACTTAAAAACTCAATATTGCCTCAAATGTAATTGTAACGTTTGGTCCAAAAGACAAAAACGCGAACAGCAGAAAAGCTCTTCTATATTCGAAAAAATTTCAAAATGCCGAAACATTCATTTAAAAATCAAAACTGTAAAATTTTGGTCCATGGTCTAGAAAATATTATGTATTATGATTTTCAATCTTGAATCTGAATCATCTGGGAACCCCAGGCTATAAGTATAATGTTCATTGTTCATAAAGTTAAACATACTCAGATCATAGAGATCGTTTTTCGTCGTTATATTTGGACTGCGTATCCATGATCCAATTCAATTTCTCCTTGCCAATTCATCTCCTGAAAGTAGGTTTCACTATATTACGTACATATTAGTTTCATTCTCATTTTTAGTTTATTTGACTTAAATCATAAATGTTAAACAGATCGGTTTTGAATGACCGAATACGTTTTTAAAAACATGTCATCTATTAATATGCAGGACTCATTCGTTGTCTGATTGCGGGAAATATTGATTCTTGATCATTTAGTTATGACGAAGATGAAATTACCGATAGCAGACAACGAATGAGTCCTGCCTCCCGAACAAATTTTCTAAAGCTGTCCACCATAAGAGTGTAAATAAAGAAATTGGCCATGATGTTGAGCTAGGATGACAGTGGAACAAACTACTTTAACTTTAAGTCTGTAGCTAGCAGTCGGTTTGGATCGAACTAGGCACTGTTAGTCAGTGTCTGTGTAATAAGCGCCAAGCGCGAGCACAGAACTTTTTTTCTCCGATTTCGATAAATTTGGTACCAAAATTTGTCTAAAAATGTGAATAAAATAAATCCACCGTGTAGCAATTTTCGCTAAAAATGCTACACGGCGCTTGTTTGTTGTTCGCCGCGCGTGCTTTTTTCGCGCAAATTTTTAGTTTTTGGCCTATAACTTTCACATTTTCAGTTATTATCACATAATTATTATGGCATCGTAATCAGCTCATCGAGACGAAACTTTTAGTACTAATATTTTAAGATTTAAAGGAAAATTATTTTCAAAATTTTTCAATCTGAACTGTGAACACAATTTTGAAAAAATTGTTGAAAAAATTGGTGCTTCAAATATTATAATTTTGGTACCAAAAGTTGCGTCTGACTAATTTCATTACGATACTGTAATAATTATTTCAAAATATTCAATATTTTAGGAGTTATAGGCATTTTACGCAATAAATTACCCATTTTTCGTCCTTTGTACATTCTTGTAATGCACAGTAGGCCCACATATAGCTCGACGTTATTTTGCTACACGGTGAATTTGCATTATTCACACTTAGAGGCAACTTTTGGTACCAAATTTATCAAAATCAGAGACAAAAAATTCTGTGCCAACTCATGGCGCTTATTACATAGACTATGTTAAAGGATCCGGATCAGTGAGCATCTCACGATATGGTAGATGATAAACGGCACGAAAGAGATACTGTAGACTGATGCGGTCAGCAGAACTGTCAGAACACCCTGCCACTTGAGGCTGTTCTTGTTGGCTGCTTTCTTTCCCTTTATCAGGATGAGCACAGTAGCAATTACTATAACTATATTTGGCAAGACTTCAACCATGAGGGCGCTGATCGGCATTATTACCTCCCAATAAGAGGCAGAGAAACCGTAAATACAGTTGTATATCCTGTAGTCAAACATCACGTCATCTTTATCCACGAGCAGAAAGGAAGCAGGGAGACTGAGCGAGGATATCCAGATCCCCGCACAAAACTTGTGAGCCTGTTTACTGGACCAGGTTCTAGCTCTAAGGGGGTATTTCAACATCAGATACTTGCCTGTTGTCATGGTGCAGACCAAAAGACAGCCTGTTGGAAGGATGTAATACCCACTGCACACTCTGAAGTAACAGAGGGTGTTACCAAAGACCCAGCCATCAGCGATGATAGAGATTACCCCGGGAAGAACGAACGTGACTGCCATGATGAGGTCACACACCGCAATATGCTGAATGAGGACCACTATCCTTGACTATGATCTGATAGAAGCGACGAGTATTGTATGTGGCTCGCCCAAAAATTTCACGTGACTTTGGTTTTTATGGTTTTGCAGCCGTACAAAACGGTTTTACATAAACCCTAATCCCAACCATAACCCTAACCATAACCCCGAAGCTGAAGCTATCCATAACCCTTACCACAACCCCAACCCTAACCCGAGCCCTAAACAATCGAATTCATGTTTTACTAGCCTGTCACGTGACCAAAACGGTTTTTTGCCCATAACTCTCCAGGGAAGCATTTTTACCCTACGTCATGATTCGGAATCAGCGTCCAAAAATACACCGGTTGGGATCATTTTCATACCCAAAGGGCCTTTTCACAGGAATTTTCTTAAAATTTGGGCGAGCGATTTAGTAGGAGCGATTGTATGTAGTGTCACCAATAAGAGAGGTTATGAGCACTATAAAAAAAAAAAGAGATAAGATGAGCCACCCAGCCCAGGTGTACCTTGCTCCTTCACTCATCATACCAAACAAAGTGCGATCACTGTTATAGTTATAGACTACTATTGTGCGTTCATA